CATTTGGATCTCTTGACCATCATTAATGTCATGATAAGTTTTCAAAAGAGATTTATCATAACACAAATGGATGGTTGCACAGGTATCAAACTTCCAACTCGAAACCTTACTTCGGATCGCATTGATTTCACTCACCATTGCGATAAACTTATCAATGGAATTCACTTGTCCCTTCTTCTATTGTTGCCTTTTGTGCTTGCAATCTCTTGCATAGTGTCCCGATTTTTCACAAACATAGCAATGTCATTTTGGACTTGGTTTTGAACTTTCCTTTATCCTTTTTACCAAGAGGCTTCCCTTTCTTCTTGTACTTGTTGGAATTATCCACATTGTCCATGGCATTAGCTTTTGAAGAGCCATCAAAGAATTTATGGTCTTATTTTTTGCTCTTGATTCTTCCTCTATGTGAAGATTTTTTGAATATCTTTTAAAGAGAAGTCTTCAGAATTATAAAAAATCTTCTTTCTATATCCTTTCCAAGACCCTAGAAATTTAGCAATATTGCTCCCACTTAAAAGGATTAAGGGAAGTTCGATTTTCACTGCTTTTAATTTGTTGACAATGACTTGTAATTCTTGTACTTGAGGCAACAAATGAAGATTATCTAACATTTTAAAATCAAAGTATTTAGATATAAGAAATTTTTTTATACTTTCCTTCTCGACATTATATTTGTTTTCAAATGCACCCCATATTTCCTTTGCCAAAGTAATGATAGTGTATAGATCATACAACCGATCCGAAAGAGTATTTAGGATGTGATCGCAACATATCAATTCGTCCTCTTGCCTCTTCTTTCTTTTTGTATGAACTTCTTCAGTATCTTCTTTGATTGCATCGGCAATTGGTTTGTTTGGATCAAATACATAGAAGATCTTTAACGTCATTAGAAAGAATTTGAGTTTGTCTTGCCATCTTATAGTGTTTGAACCATCAAATCTATCCAAGTGCACCAAATCTTGATTCATCAATTTGATGAAAACTAACATAGTTTCCATCTCCATCATAGTAAAATACATTTTTAAATTGTTAAAAAAATCGAAGAGGAGAAGGAGATGAAAACATGAAATGAAAAATAAGGCTTGAACACATATATGATATGCTATCTTAAAATGGTATTTGCCTTATCTGTTATGCTTTTAGGATTTTCGACAAATAATTTAGAGGATTAACATGTCTTCAAAAAAGAAACACAAAAAACAAAATAATTCTTTCTTTTCGAACTTGTTGAAAACTTGAAGAAGGTTTGAATATGTATCGGAATGAGGAAAAATCAAGTGTAGATATAAATGATGATATCTTATGTTTGGAATTGGAAATCTATCACCTATTTATAGAACTCTAACATTATATCATGAAAAGGCTCCAAACACTCGTGAAAAGTTGGGAACTTTCCACCAAAAAGGCACTAGAAATTCAAAAAATAAAAATAAAAAAAATCATCCAAACGGCTAGATTCTTGAACCATACGTACGCATGGTTATTTCTTTGCATACGCATAGCAGAAGAAAAATTGCTTCTGTTTTCTGTAGACAAAACCATGCTTACACATGACCATTACACTATGTTTAAGCATGGTTAAGCAAGAATCACCCAATATTGCATTCCAATTTTATTATACATTGTCATCCAATATCATCATTAATTCATTCACATTTCAACCTAAAAAAGGTGTCCAAATTTTAAACAACAAACAATTATATATTTCTTTACAAATTCAATCTTGTGTTTTCGTGGTGTGATCTAGTATACTTTAATATTGTCATTAAATCTCGTTCTTTAAAATCCGGTTTGGAATCAACATGTGTTATTGGAGTTTTTGCCCCCAACAAGTGGTATCAGAGCGATGTTGTTGATTTTCTGTGAATTGGTTGAGATTATTTCGAGATGGCTAGGTTGAAATATGATGTTCCGCAGTTAGATCGCAATACAAGGTTCTCGTTGTGGCAATTAAAGATGAGGGCTATTTTGGCGATTTGGATGATGCGTTGCTGGGTATTGAGAGGATGCCAATTGGTTGGACAACTGAGGAGAAACAATGGAAGGATTGGAATGCTGTTTCATTAATTTATCTTCATCTGTCCAACAATATTTTGCAGGATGTCTTGAAGGAGAAAACGATGGCTACTTTGTAGTTGAAGTTGGAGCAGTTGTGTATGACTAAGAGTCTTACAAGTAAACTGACTCTCAAGCAGAAGCTGTATTTACATTGCATGGCGGAAGGAGAGTCGTTGAAAGACCATGTTGCCTTGTTCAAGAAAATAGTTGCAGATCTGGAGACATTGGAGGTTAAGTACGATGAAGAGCATCTTGCCTTGATCCTGTTGTGTTCGCTTCCTGAATCTTATGCGTCGTTTCGAGATACTATCTTATACAGTCGAGATACTTTGACTATAGATTGAATATAGAAGATGTCTATGATACTTTGCACTCAAAGAAAAATATGAAACATTTGGTTGGAGCTACATCAATGGATAGGAAAGGTCTTGTATCTCAAGGTGGTTAACGAAGAGGCAGATTGAGAGTTAGATTTAGCAATGTGACCTGTTACTACTGCAAAAGGAAGGGACTTATTCGGAAGGATTGCGATATGTTGCAGACTAAAGGTGATTTAGCTGTAAATTGTGAGATGCAACCTTTGAATTCAGATGAAACCAATGTAGTTGAGAGTTGTTCAAATGGTGAAGATGTGATGTTGACCGTTGTATCTGATGTGAAATTTAGGCCTGACAATGAGTGGATTCTTGATTCAGTATGTTCGCACCATATGTGTTCCGATAGAAATTTATTTTAGACATATGAGGCTGTTCAACAAGGTACAGTTGTCATGGAAAACAACCAATCTTGCCGGGTTGCAAGAATCGATCGAGTCAGATTAAGGTTGCGGGATGGAACATTTAGAACAATTGATCAAGTTCGACATGTTCCTGACCTGAAAAGAAATCTCATTTCGCTAAGTACCTTGGATGCAAAAGGGTATAAATTCTCTGGAGGAAGTGGAGTCTTGAAGGTCCGAAAGGGATTCCGAGTTGTACTAGAAGGACGGAAAAGATCCCAGTTGTACATTTTCTAGAGAAGTGCAGAACCAGTTAAGAAGAGACATTTGGACAAGTTTAGTAACGTGGTAAAAGTTCAGTTTGGTACAGTACCTCTTGTGTTGGGCTTTGAGTCGATTCAGAACACTGCTAGGGAGAGCGTTGGTGATTCCACTTTGCCATCAATTTTAGCGAGTACACTGTGTTCAGTTATTAGGGTAAGAATCATCGAGCGTAGGTACCATGGTGTCAGCAATGTCGGTGATGCTTCTAGGGACGTTGAAGGAGAGTTTCAGCAAGGGGCTTTCTGATCAAGTATCTGGTTTGGTTCTTACTACAGGGTGTGCTTCGGCCCTGTGTGATCAACATTAATTCCTTGGTGGAATTGGAAACCCTGGGGATTGGGTTGAGGTGTCGATTGTGGACGCCGGGTAGAGAACGAGTGTTTGCTTTATATGGAGTAGTTACTGTGTTGAGGAGATTTGGCTAGTTAATTTCGATGTAGATGAATTTGAAATCTAGAAGTTTCGTTCGTAGCACCGGAATTTGAGTCAAGGTGGAGATTGTTAGGAATATGACTCAAATATGAGTCTTTTGAATATGCGTATTCGATTTGGACTAGGAGAATATTAACCTAGGGTTTAAGGAAACTAAGTTGAATAAGGAAACAAAATCCTGTTGAAATTACGTCTCATAATTGTAATATATTTTCTTGCCTTTTAGGACTATTTTAGGGTTGGTTTATAAATATGAGGCTCCTCTGATCTGTTTGTAGAGAGTAACATCGAAGAAGTATTACTAGTCTCTCTTGTATTCTCCAAACTGTTGAATTAATAAATATCGTTTCTCTGCGTTTATGCTTTGTGTTCTTTCTTTACAAATTCAATCTTGTGTTTTTGTGGTGTGATCTAGTATACTTCAATATTGTCATTAAATCTCGTTATTTATAATCTGATTTGGAATCAACGTGTATTATTGGAGCTTCTATGCCAACAATAACAACATTAAGTTGTGATTGAGTTAATTTTGTTTATTAGTTATTTTAGATCTTTTAATATGTCTAGTAATAAATTGGCAGAAAATTGAAAAAGAATCTCTAAGTGGTCGACCCAAAATTCCTCTAGAAAAATGTTTAGACCTTGTGTGAAAAAGAATTATTCGAAAAATTATTTTTCTAAGTGGTTTTTTTTTTTTTTTTTTTTTTTTTGAAGAAATGTGCTATGAAAAAGTTAAAAGGAAATGTGAAAATAATTATTTTTGAATAGTGTGGTTGAAAATAAGTGTAGAAATTTTTTTTTTTATTTTTTTTCAAGGAATCACTTTTAGTTATGTTTCCTATTCTTTCTCTTTGTTGAAGACCCAATGTGAGAATAAAAAAAATGTCTAGATATCATCAGACTTTTGATAAAATCTAGCATGGAGAGAATAGATCATATGCTTAAGGCAGCATTTCATAAATTCGTGTGAAACTCATCTTTAGAAACTTGTACTTTTAAATGAGGTGTATGATTTAAAATGTTACAAAAATTTGAATTTTATTTTCTCCCATCAAAACTTGATAGATAAAACACATTTATTTATTTATTTAAGTGCTTGGATAGAAGTGATTTTTTGAAAATCATTTTTCTCTATACTCATTTTCAACTATCATTTTTCATGTTTTCTCATAATTTTTACTTACATTTTAACCATACATGTTTTCGAAAAATTACTTCTTAAATAATCACTTATATACAAGCTCTGAGTCTTGTCTTCAACATGCTTTATTAGTCAACGAGAATTTGCTCGTAGAAAACCCTGGGTTTACTTTAAAAAAAATACGATTACACGAAAAATCTTTATTTTATCCCCTTATTTTGTTTTGATACTTCGGTGAAGTAACAAGCTTCATAAGTGGAAACATCAACTTGCATTATATATATAACCATTATGTAATTGTCCCAAACAAACACTTCATCAGAAAACATGACCAAAATGAAAAGTAATAACTATTTTCTCGAATTTATGGCGGCTTTGCCACCAGATGATACGGTGGTTCTAGTAGGCCATAGCATGGGTGGAATTTCCATTTCTGTTGCTATGGAAATGTTCCCTCAAAAAATTTCTGTCGCTATTTTTGTCACGGCCTTCATGCCTGCTCCTCACCTTAATGTTCCTACTATTATTCTAGAGGTAATTAATGGCATGCCATTTATCCAGAAAATGATCTTCTATCCATGGTCGACAGGGGCTATCTTGCCCACCACTGAAGTGGGCCTAACATTTTTGACAATTTATTGCCACTTAGCTCAACGGTGAACATGTTTTTTCCTACTCAACATAGGTGGGAGATCATTTCTAGCTATTTATCTGTGTGTTTTTATTTTTCTTTTCCTTTAGTAAGATCTAAATTTAAATAAGAGAAACTATTAATCTGTTTTCAGCTTGTTTAATTTGACAAAAGAAAATATTTTTCAGTGTGAATGAATAAAATAAAATAGAAATTAAAGGAATTACGATGATAATTTTATCGATTTTTCATTTCGACGAACTTTAATCTAGCCACCCAACTACGTACCCTCCCTCAAGAATTTTATTGCATATCATGTTGAATTTTTCGATTTTCATTAAAAATGAAGCCATGTTGTCATTAAGGATCTGGTTTTTATTTTTGACAAAAACATGATGGGAGAATTTTGGATTTTTTTTCCAACCCTTTCTAATTTACTGATAATCCCTTTTTTCTTAATTTGATAATAACTTATGCATACTTATTTCTATTACTCAGTGCAATCGACAAATGGATCATGGTTTTATGGACAGTCAAATCTCATTCGGTAAAGGAAAGGACAAGCCTCCAACCTCTCTCGTCTTTGGCTCCAAGTTCTTGTCCAATGTCTTGTATCAACTTTCCCCTCTAGAGGTGAGTATATGCAGTTTGACCCTATTTGGTATAAATTAAAATTTAGATTTTAATCTAACCTCCAGTTTGACAATCATTATTTAAAAGTGATTTTTTCAATATATTTATTTTCAACCATACATTCAAATCATAAAATATTATACAAGTAATCACAAAACTTTTCTTTATCTTTTAACCATACACTCTCTTAAAAATCACTATTCAAAAATATTATTTTTTTTGTCAAACAGATACTAAATCAAAGTCAATAATTATTGCTCACATATTTTTCAACAATATAATTTATTGATTTTCATCAAAATCTAATAAAAAATTGATTTTGAACTCCTCCAAACAAAGCTTCAACTTTATTTCGCTTTTGGCATCTGCGTTTATTCTAGGGTTGGCAACGGTTCGGTTATGGGACGGTTCGGTCAAAACCATAACCGCACCATAACCACGTAAATCGGTTTGGTACGATTCGGTTAATAACTACGAAAATAAATTATTTTTTATAAGTTCATCCGTTAAATTGATATAAAACAATTTATGAAAAAAGTCAATGAAAACAAAAATACAATATATTGTATTCGACCACGCCTCGGACTTGGCTCAAGTCTATACTATAATCAGTACTGATTGAATTTATCCTCTTTTCAAAAAAATTTGAAACAATTTCTGCATCAAATCCCAAAAATACGTTACTGGAATTGGATATAAAATGCAATCAATTTACAGATACAACCAAAATGACTGAGATGAAATTTTTGTTTCAATAATCTTGATTAAGAAGGCCCTTCACCTAAGGTCCTGTCTTTTCTTTAAAATTGAAGTCCAATCTGATTCAAACTGAAGTCCCGTGAAAATTTTTCTATAGGCGACAACGGCTTGGACCGTGGAGGTAGTGAAGCCGTGCGTGAGTTTGTGATTTGTGGAGAGTAGAGTTTGCATTATATACTGTCATACTGCTGTTATTATTATGGGTTAATGATAAGTGGGCTGACAGGCTGGGTCAAGTAGATGTAATGGAGGAATTTTGCTTTGGGCTGGATAGAAAAATAGTGTAAAGCCCAATAATCAATTCAATTGTTTGTTTTTTTTTTTTTTTTTAGTGGGTAATCGGTTCAGTTTCGGTTCGATGGCGTAAATACCATACCCGCACCGCCACGCACTGGTTCATTAAAATCAAATACCATATCCACCACATTGCACCATTGATTCGATTTTTTTTGCCCCATTCGATTCGGTTAACTACGATTTTCGATTTTGACGATTCAAATTCCCATCCCTAGTTTATTCAAATATTAGAAAATGGACAATTAGTGCTTCTCAAATACGTCTGTATAAGGAAATGCTGAAACAGGATTTATCTCTTGCAACCCTTTTGGTGAGACCCATAGGGCTCTATGATGATGCAGAAATGCTGAAAGAAATAATCCTTTCAACACAAAATTACGGCTCAGTTTGTCGTGCTTATATAATAAGTGAGGAAGATAAAATTATTAAGGAGGACTCTCAAAAGTGGATGATAGAAAAAAATCCACCTGATTTGGTGAAAACCATTTGTGGTTCAGATCATATGGTTTTGCTCTCTAAACCACAAGAATTGTGTGTTTTTCTACAAGAAATAGCACAAGAATATTATTAAATAATTTCTCACTATATGTAAACTGTTTGTCTAAAACGTATTATTGTTGGAATCTGTAGTGCTTACACGTATTGTATTGTCTAAAAAATATTGTTTAGAACCTTTTGGAATTATTATTATTATTATTATTATTATTATTATTATTATTATTATTATTATTATTATTATTTTGAATTTAAGTTGAGGGTTTTTAATTATATTTTTTCTTATTATTGCCCGTGTAATTGGGATTAGGGTTTAGATCTTGCTTATGGAATAAGTTAAATGGTTTTCTCGTAAGTAAATAATAAATAGAATAAGTTAATAACCACCACATTTTTGTCCAAAAAAGTTAAAAATAACCTATAATATAATTTTTAAAAATTAATATTTTTTACCTCCTTTTATAATTATTTTCACTATACCTCATTTTTATTTAAAATTGACATTTCAATTTTTTGTTAAAGACCAATAATTTTTTGTGAATTACATGTTAGGATAACATATATGTTAAATGTCTTATTTATAGAGTAAAGTTACAATATTTTTATTTTTAAATTAAAAAAAATACTTTAGAAAAATAATATACTGAAAGAACAATTCACAAAGAGAACAAACCAAATCAATTTTACTTTTTGAACAATTTACAAAGCGAACAAGAAAATTATAATGTCAAACTTACATTCCCAACCCCCCCCCCCCCCCCCCCCTTC